TCCACTGGTTCAGCCCATGATGGGCCAAGAACTAGCCAATCCCAATAGTTACCTCAGTCTTTGTCCAGTTATGGCCATGTCCCTATAAAAACCCCTAGACAAAGGAGTTCACTAGCTTTTCCTTTCGTGGAAACTCCTCCCACGCTTGGGACTTTCTGTAAATTTCTCACTTTTTTGTAATTTTCTCTAATTAAGCTTGCTTCCACTTTGCACACTTTGAGAAGAGTTTGTGTCCTTAGTCTTCATTGGCATGAGACAACTCCTGTGGAATAATCTTTTTATACACTGTGAAGATGTGTCACTCAGATGGGTTTAGTAAAAAGCTGAATGGCTAATAGCTTGGCAGGATTTTCAGGGCAGAGAGAATGCTGGGAGGAAGAAGGGCAGAGATGCCAGCCAGGCATGGAGGAAACAGGAAAGCAGCATGGGCAGTACAGAGTAAAGGTAATAAAGCCACGAGGTAAAAAGTAAATTAATAGAAATGGGTTAATTTAAGTTATAAGAGCTAGTCAGAAACAAGCCTAAGCTACTGGCCAAGGTTTCACAATAAGAAGTCTCTGTGTAGTTATTTGGGAGCTGGCTGGCAGGGCAGAAAAATCCGCCCACAGACAATGAACTCAGAGTTACTGTCTCAGGTTGATTTCCGGTGACAGTAGAGTTTCCTGTACTTTAGGGGCCTGGGTCAAGTCCAAATGGGCTGAAATAGGTCCCCCTGTACTCAAAATTCTGCACACTAATTCACACCTTGTTTTTCAGGCTGGAAAACAGACATCTCCAATTTCTTTCCTCACCTCAGTCACCAAGGCCAACACTTTCTTCTTCCCTATTTGTGGTGCTGGGAAATGAACCTAGGGACTTGAATAAGCAAGACACTCTTCCACTGGCCCACGCACCCAGTCCGAGCACCTGCTGTCTTAGTTAGGGTTTCTATTGCTGCCACAAAACACCAAGATCAAAAACAAGTTGAAGAGGAAGGGTTTATTTGGATTACACTTCCAGATCATAGTCCGTCATTGGAGGAAGTCAGAACAGGAACTCAAGCAGGGCTGGAACCTGGAGGCAGCAGCTGATGAAGAGGCAATGGAGGGGTGCTGCTTACTGGCTTGCTCACCCTACTTCCTTATAGATCCTAGGACCACCAGTCCAGGGATGGCACCACCCACAAATGGGCTGGACCCTCCCCCACTGATCACTAATTGAGAAAATGCCCCAAAGCTGAATCTCATGGAGGTAGTTCCTTAACCGAGGCTCCTTCCTTTCTAATGACTCCAGCTTGTGTCAAGCTGACACAAAACCAGCCAGCACACTTGCTATTAGCAATAGAAAATGGATATCATTCTTAGCTATCTAATTCCTGCCAGACACTCTAGGCTAGGTTAGCTACAAGTATTATCTTTAATTTTCACAACTATTGTGCATTTCATAAAAGAGGAAACTGGGGCCCACTCTTTCTCCCTCTAATTTATCCCATATCCTTCAGGCACAGTGATCTTCCTAAACTTAAATCTGATCATATTACACCCACCATTAAACCTCTTTAAAACTTACTATTTTTTGTTTTGTTTTGTTTTGTTTTTCAAGACAGGGTTTCTTTGTGTAACAGTCTTGGCTGTCCTGGAGCTCACAAAGATCCACCTGTCCCTTCTTCCCAAGTGCTGGGATTAAAGGTGTATGCCACCACCGACCGGCTTCTTATCATTATTTTTTAAAGTCCAGGTAACTGGGCACAAGGTAATCTTCATCATCCCTTTTCCCCCAACATTCCTCACAGCAGCATCTTTTAATCCCTGGACCATATCCTGCTTCTTCTCCTCTTACCTCTAGACTCAGCACAGGACTTGTTTTTAATTTTAAATTAAATTTAAAATTATTAGTATGCTTGTGGGTATGCCTGTGCCACAGCTCATGTGTGGCGTTCAGAGGACACTCTGTGATATCAAGTCTCTCTTTCCATCTTTCCATGGATTCTGGGGGGGGTAGGGGGTGCAAATTCAGGTGGCCAGGCATACATGGCAAGCAAGCACTTTACCCCCTCAGCAATCTCACCGGTTCCTTTTTATTTTTTCTTTGAGACGGGGTTTATGTACAGGCTGGCCTCACACATGCTATGTGGCCAAGGCTGACCCTGAGTTCCTCATCCATTGTCTCATGTGATGGGATTACAGGTGCACTACACCGTAGCTGGCTGGGATTCCCTTATTCATCCACTCACCATACATATTACATAAATGAAATGTATATAGGTTCTGTCTTAGTTACTTTCCTATTGCCATGATAAGACACCACCTTCCTAGTCCAAAGTCCCAAAGTCTTCCACATTCCTCCCAAACCAGCATGGTCTGTCACAGAAATGCCCTACTTCTGGTACCAACTTTGGTCTTAGTTTTCTATTGCTGTGAAAGGACACCATTACCAAGGCAACTTATAGAAGAAAGAGTTTACTGGGTGGCTTACAGTTTCAGAGTGTTAGATACATGACCCACTGTAGCAGGGAGCATGGCAGTAGCCAGGCAGGCATGGTGTAGTAGCAGTGGTAGAGAAAATTATATTTTGATCCATAAGCAGGAGGCAGAGAGCCCTAACTGGGAATGGCATGGGCTTCTGAAACCTCAAAGCCCACCCCTAGTGACACACCTCTAACAAGGTCACACCTCCTAATCCTTCCCAAAGAGTTCCACCAACTGGGGACCAAATAGTCAAACAGATGAGCCTATGGGGCCAGTTTCATTCAAACCACTGCAGGTCATTTCCTCAAAGTTCTTAAAATCTAGTGGCATAAGCAAGTATTAAAGATAAGTATGATGACAGAATCAGGATTCTGTGTTATAAAACATTTAGTGATAGTGAAAGTCACAGTGAATGTTTCAGATCAGTCTGATGTAGTAAGAGGTCTCAGATGCTTACACACTTTGAAACCTGAAGACTAAGATGGTCAGATACATGAAAAGCAGAAGGCAGGGTGAGGGGCAAGAGATACTGCTTAGAAGAGAAAACAGTCCCCAAAACTGACACATGGGGTTGAATGAAACTAAAAAGTTTGCACACAAAACAACCCCTTAGTGGAGTGTTGTGGGATATTTGTACACTGTGTGAAGATGTATGGCTGCGATTGGTGTAATAAAGAGCTGAATGGCCAATAGCTAGGCAGGAGAGCACAGGCAGGATTTCCAGGGAGAGGAAGAGAAGGAGGAATCTACTAGAGATGCCAGGGAGACACTGAAGAGGTTGGACATATGGTACAGAGTAGAGATAACGGAGCCACGTGGAAGAATGTAGATTAATAAAAGCAGGCTAATTTAAGTTATAAAAGCTAGTGGGACAAGCCCAAGTCAATGACTTTCACAATCGATAAGCCTCTATGTCATTATCTGTGGGCTGGGGTCCCAACGAGAAAGGACTGCTACAGCAGAGCAAACAGCCAACCTACAGAAAGGGTGAAAGTATTTTCCAGCTATACTTTAGACCAGGGGTTAATATCTAGAATATACAAGAAATGCAAAATTATTGACACACACACACACACACACCACCACCACCACCACCACCACCACCACCACCACCACCACCACAAATTGGCCAATGAACTGAAGAACAATTCTCAAAATAAACAAAAAAAGGCCCATTAATATTTTATAAAGCATTCAGTAACCTTAGTTCTCAGAGATATGCAAATTATAACCCCTCTGAGATTCCATCTCACCCAGGTCTGAATGGCTATTATCAAGAAAACAAAGCATAACAAATATTGCTGAGACTGTGGGAGAAGAGGAACCCTTATTCACTGCTGGTAAGGGTGTACACTGGGCAGCCACTTGAAAATCAGTGTGGAGGCGTCTCAAAATACTAAAACAGAGCTACCAGATGATCCTTCTGTACCACTCCTGGGCACAGAGGACTCTATCCTGCTACAAGGCTGGTTGCACATCCATGTTCAATGCTGCTCTATTCACAACAGCAAGGAAACAGAATCAGTCTAGATGTCCATAAATTGATGAATAGGTATATGTATATTATATATTATATATATTCAGCCATAAAGAAAATCAAAATTATGAAAATGAATGGGGCTTGAAATAATATTAAATGCAGCTCTTAACTTCTAATATATATGAGGAGTGTGGATAGAGGCCGGAGAACTAAAAGGGGTCCATAGGTGGGGGGGGCATTAGGGGAGGGAGGCGGGGAGGACAGCAGAAAGGTATGATGTGAGAAGAAAGGGGATGCAGGGGGTGCAAGGGTGCAAACTACGATGGGGAAGAGGCCGAGAGACAGGTGAAACAAGTCTGATGGTCAGGGGAACCAACCCAAGTCGAGAATGTGTGAAAATGCCTGAAGAAAGCCTGTTACATTTTATGGCAAATTAAAAAATTTAATCGAAGAATGAAAAAAACCAAAGAGATGCTGTTTAGAGACATCAACAGACCTCAAATCAAAGATTTTTTTTTTTGTTTGTAGGTCATGATTTGGAGCTTGGATTTTATTCTAGGTCCCAAGTACAATCAAATTATTAAAGAATTGTGTCACTTTTTTCCTGATGAATGGTGACGAGAAAAGAGAGGCATAAAATAGGATACAGGACACTATCAGGAAGATAAACTAATGGTTTTAGGTAAACAAACAAACAAAAGACTAATTTGGGGGCAGGAGAGATGATGGGTTGGCAAGTAAAAACACCTGGAGCACAAGTTCAGCGAACTCCCCAGAGACCTAAATAAAAAGCTATGTTCGCACACATCTGTAATCCTAGCACTTTATCCTGGAGATGAGGAGGCAGAGACGGGAGAATCACCACAAAGCGCTCTCACAGGCCAGCTAGCCTCCGCCAAAGGAACACCGAGCCTACATACGATCAGACAACTGAATGGCGCGATGTAAGAAGTCACATTCACTAAAACAAGTCACTTTCTTCACGGCCTAACGCGCAGCGGGATGAGACTTGGGATGGAACCGTGGCCGGTTGGCACCACGGAGGCACTCGGGAGTCCCTGACCCGCACCTACCTTCCTCCCCGACAGCTCTCCGGGCGGGGGTCCCGGACGCGCTCCCCTCGTAGCCTGTTGCCATGGTTACCGCGCTAAGGATGGAGCTAGTACCGGGTCAGAGGAACCTCTGGGATCTGCCGCCTCCCCGCAGGAAGGATCCACCGCCTTCACCGGAACCGGCGCTCCCGGAGTCACGTGACCACGCTGGGCGTGGCCACGCCCGTTTGTTTTGCTCTAAGGATCCTGAAAGCGCCGAGCACGTGGCCTGGGCCCGGGTACCTCTTTCTCCCACCCTTAGCTTTTTTTGTGTGTGTGTGCGAAGATCCTCTATTTCCGCCCTGGCATTCCCTCACTCAGTGGGACTCGCGATTTAGGGGAACCCGGGGTAGCTTTGCCCGCACCTCCATTTCGCTGGTTCCTTTGGCATCGGGATCATCCCAGCTGGTTTTCCTGGCTGCCTGGGCACATGAACCTCAGGCAGTGCCCCTTGAAGGCGTTCCCTGTGACTCATTTCCCGAGCCAGATATGCCAAGTTGCTTGACTGTCGTTTTCAAGGACACAGACAGCTGTCAGGGGTCTGGATTTGTACATCAGAACAAACAGATGTCTAACCCCTTCCCCCAGCTTCTGCCGTTTATTTAGTCTGGTTAACACCATAATGAGAGGTAATCTAGGTCACTGTCTTCCAACCTTAACATAATCCGTATTGTTTACCCTTTTGCGTGACGAACAAAATGGGTAGAAAGACTCAAGTCTGAATGAAAATTGGTTAGTGTATAATCTCACTGGATACTTAAAGACACAGACAAAATCAAATGGTTTTCATGACACAATACCCTGAGACCTTCCTATACCTCAATGTCCTGCCGCCTATAATTTCTGCAGTTAGAACCCCAATAAAAACAAAAGCCTAATATAGAAGCAAACATTGGGATAAGTGACCTGAGGTCAGCGAGTTGTTTATCGGGCACGTGATGTAAACTTGGGCACTTCCTCCAGCAACCCGCGAGGGACTGGCTCAGCCTCCCCAGCTCCAGCCTCCCGACCAGGCGCTCTCCTCCACTCCTTTCGTTCCTTGGGTCGCATCCCGCGACCCCGGCTGCTCGGCTCTCCCAGGGCGTGCCTGCGCTCCCAGCGAGCAGGGTGGACCCTGCCTCGCCTCCTCCCCTCGGGCTCGGGCGGCGCAGGCGCAGCAGACGCGGCCGGGAGGCCGAGGACCAGAGCGGCTCCGGCTCCGGCTCCACCCGCCCAGTCAGCGCCCGGCTGGCTGATCTGCGGCCACCGGGACGCGTCGGGCAGGGCCGGCGGGCGGCGTCGCCATGGGCTCGGGCTGGAGCAGCGAGGAGGAGGAGCGGCAGCCGCTGCTGGGCCCGGGGCTCGGGCCTGCACCGGGGGCTGCGCGCAGGGGCCGGGAGGCGGCGGCCGTGCTGCCAGCGGCGGGCCCGGGCCCCGGGCGGGTGTACGGGCGCCGCTGGCTGGTGCTGCTGCTCTTCTCCCTGCTCGCCTTCGCCCAGGGCCTGGTCTGGAACACCTGGGGCCCCATCCAGAACTCGGCGCGCCAGGCCTATGGCTTCTCCGGCTTGGACATCGCGCTGCTGGTAATGTGGGGGCCCATCGGCTTCCTGCCCTGCTTCGCTTTCATGTGGCTGCTGGACAAGAAAGGTAAGGAAGGGGTCCGGGACGCCTGCGGGCGTGTCCCTTCTCCGGGAGCCGGCGCCCGCCAGGATCCCAGCCTGCCTGTGCCTCCCGGCTTGGTCTAGGGGTTGTGTGAGGTGACCCGGAGTCGCTGGCATCCCATCCCTAACTCGGGAACCCTCTGTCCCCAAAGCGACAAATAAGGAGGATGCTTTCCAAGTATTGATTTTTTTTTTGTTACGCCCTTTATGCAACCCTAGAGATTTAGGCAGTCACCAGATGTTGAAGTCTTTGCGTATTGTGGACACCAGAGCGACCCAGTGCACTTGCTGTGAATGTTTTTGACACCTGACAGAAGTGACTCATGCTTTGATTTCAAAGGAATTTTTGAGGTGCTGAGGGTGAAAGGTCAGAAAAGAGACTGGTGATGCCCAGATGTAAGGAAGCAATGAGCTGGCATGGTGACTCCAGCCCTGGAAGCACTGTTGGGAAACTCAGGTCTGACGTCTGGATTTCTGGAAGGTAGCTCCCCGGGTTAAAATGAGCGCGTTCTCCAGGTGACTGTTCAGTTGCGATTTATTACTCTGAGATAAAGATCGCAGATGCAAGAAGGCTCCCCTTCAGATGGGGACTCCAGGCATCGCACTTTGCCAGGTGCCAGTGAGATTCTGTGAGATGGGGAGAAGGCCAGTGCGGGAAGAGTCAAGATGTTGAATTATCCCTCCTGAGTGTAAGTAAGCCTCCAGGAGGCTGTTGTGCAAGATTTAGACCTCTTAGGTATGTAGTTGGATAATGGTCGGAAACTGCTTTGTGTAGATTCTGTTCAACCTTTTGAGTTGAACAAAATGAGTTTTGATGTAATAAATTCTTTGGTTAGTTTTGGAATAACATTGTCTTAGTCTACAGGTCTGTTAACAAACAGCCATAAACTTACAAAACAAAAGACATTTATTTATAGCCTTTCTGGAAACTGGGAAGTCCAAGATGAAGGACCAATTGGATTGCTTGTCTGGTGAGCATCATCCATACAATGCTCTTTTCTTTGTAATCTCTCAAGGGAAAAGGCCAGGGATCTCTCTGGGGTCTCTTTGATAAGGGAATTAATCCTATTTGTATAGACCCTGCCCTGACAACCTGTTAGGTCCCCAAAGCCCCACCCCTTAGTCCAATCACTTTGCTGGGAGTAGAATTTCAACGGGATTCTGAGTGGACCCACAAATGTTCTCCATGAAGTAAAAGTGGAACATAGGTTGATGTGGAGCTGTGATTGTCTGGTGTGACATAGCTCTCAAACTATATGTTATCGAAAGAACAACATCTAGCTGTGCGTGCTCCCATCCTGGTGATTCCTTTACAAGAGTCCACATGGAAGAGATGACAAAATTGATGACTGAATACATTCAATCATCATGAGTAATACATATGATCAATATGTGTTATAGATGCTCAAAAGGGGAGGGCAGGTCTAAGCCCAGAAGAACAGTGTCCAAAAGAGAAGGAAAAGTACTTTGGTATGTTCTACCCTAGCATCGAGTCCTGTGCATTCGTTTGTTTGGTTTTGGTTTTTCGAGACAGGGTTTCTCTGTGTAGCTTTGGTGCCTGTCTTGGATCTCACTCGGTAAACCAGGCTGGCCTCGAACTCACAAAGATCTGCCTGGCTCTGCCTCTGAGTGCTGGGACTAAAGGCGTGCGCCGCCCAGCTGTTTTTTTTTTTTTTTTTTTTTTTTTTAAGAAGGTCCTTTGGTAAACTGGAATGACCGTGAGAGTTGCATGACAAGAGTGATAATGGGTGTAAAAAAAAAATCATGAAATTTAAGCTTGAACAACTGAGACAGAATATAGACAACATGAAAATCAAGTAAAAGAGCAGTAGACTTCATGTGTATAGTTCTAAAGGAAGAACTGTGATGTAACTGCGGTGTGAAGACTCTGCTAGCCATGAGAGGTGTGTAGTGGTGGAAGGGACTTTAGGACTTCTAGGAGGAGCAGGCATGTGGGCAGGGAGTTCCAAAACAGCACTTGACGTAGAATAAGGTAGAAGAGACCAATTATTAGATATTGATTTCTTTGGTGGTGTACTCAAAGCACTGTCTGTATTCTTTGCCAAGCACGACTTCACTTGCTGCCTGAAGCAGAATGACCTAGAGAAATAGCCGAAACAATGGGTCATTTCCCCTAACAACCCGCTGACTGCCGTGATCACTTCTGTAAAAATCCTGCTTGCACTGGGTGGTGAGAGGCCTTTAATCCCACCACTCCTTTAATCCCAGCACTCCGGAGGCAGAGGCAGGTGGATCTCTGTGAGTTCGAGGCTAGCCTGGTCTACAGAGTGAGTTCCAGGACAGCCAGAGCTACACAGAGAAACCCTGTCTTGAAAACAAACAAAAATCAAGCTTGCTTGCCCATTCCACCTTGTGGTTTTTTAGTATAAAATAAGAATACAAACTGGCCCTGGGATTGAAGGGCTTCAGGAGCCGTCCTGGCTCTGTCTACTGGTGACATCTCTCTCTCTTCCACCCTCATTGGTGTCGGGGTGCTTATTCCAGAAAGATTCCCACAGTACACGGAGTGGGGGCTTTCCTTTGTTTGGGAGCTTTCCTTTTGCCTTTAAACTGAATTACAGATCTTATTTGAATTCATCAATGTTTTCACTGTTTGGTGTTTTGTTTTCTATCTTAAGATTTAGTCTAGTTTCTTGTAACACAAATCTTAAAAGTTCTTATTAATAAAAACAAACCTGGAGCCAGGTATTGGGGTGAATGCTGGAAGATCAGAGAAGCAGAACAAGCCACAGCCACCTCACCTCGACAGTTCCTCAGCGGATCCTGTTTCCTCAGACTGGAAGTCTCTGAGTCCTCATCCAGAATGAGCCTCAGCTGAACTGTGCTACTCAAAAACCTAAAAGCTTAACCAGCTTAGTTCCTGGTTTTCATGCCTTATATACCTTTCTGCTTTCTGCCATCACTTCCTGGGATTAAAGGCTCATGTCGCCACGCCTGGCTGTTTCCAGTGTGGCTTTGAACTCACAGAGATCTGTCTGCCTCTGGAATGCTAGGATTAAAGGCGTGTGCTACCACTGCCTAACCTCTATGTTTAATATCATGGCTGTTCTGTTCTCTGACCCCCAGATAAGTTTATTAGGGTGCACAATATTTTGGGGAACACAATATTACCACTGTCTCTTCCAATCTGGAAATTCCTTAGTCATCCCTTTAAAAGTTGGCCATGTTAGAGTCATCAAAAGTCAACAGTTAAGGAATTGAGGAGATGGTTCAGTGGGTCGGAGTATTTGCTGTGAATGCAGGTGGGCCTGAGTTCAAATCCCCATGCACCCATGTAAAAGAGCTGAGCATGGCCTCCAAGACAGGAGGATCCCTGGAGCTCCTGTGAGCTTCAGGTTCAGTGGAAGACTGTCTGAAACAGTGAAGTGGAAAGTGATAGAGGAAGGTACCCATTGTACTCCTCTGGCCACACATGCACCTGCAGACACAGATGTGCACACCTCCCCCCCCCACACACACACACAGTAAACTAAAGAAAACAAAATCAGAAAACGCTTAACCATAGCCTCCCTAATTTTCTTATGATAGGTGAGTGAGATACCCTGTTCTACACAATAGGGTGCAACTGGGGACACTGGGTTTAATGAGTACAAACAAGAACACAGAACAGAGGGAACATGGCCATTAACATCAGAGTGCTCCTGGCCTCAATTTGTATTCAAGCAGAGGAGACTTAGGATACTCACTTACTAGAAATCTCCTCTTCAGGAAAGACTGGTCTGTTTTGGGTTTTATCCACTTCCTTAATTTTAATTTAATTTTAGCATGAATGACTCTTAGGCTGCTAGTTTTTAATGTCAACTTGATCCAACCTGGGGTCATCTGAAAAGGAAGAATCCTGCTAGGGAAAATGCCTCCATAGGATTGGCCTGTACGCAAGCCTGTGGTATATTTTCTTTCTCTAAAAGAAAAAATGTTATTTGTGTGTGTGTGTGTGTGTGTGTGTGTGTGTGTGTGTGTGTGTACACATACCTGAGGAGGTCAAAGCCATTCCCCAGCACTAGAGTCACAGGTGCTTGTGAGCTGCCCGATGTGGTTGCTGGGATTCAAACTCTGGTCCTCTGCAAGAACAATGTATGTTCTTAACTGCTGAGCCATCTCTCCAGCCCCTGTGATGCATTTTGTTCACTGATGGTTGATGTGCGAGGGCCCAGTTTACAGTGGACAGTGCCACCTGTGGGCTGGTGGTCCTGAGTGTTATAGAAAGCGGGCTGAGCAGGCCACGAGAAGCAAGCCAGAGAGAGGCATTCCTCCAATGGCCCCTGCTTCGGTTTCTGTCTCCAAGTTCCTGTCCTGTTTGAGTTCCTGCCCCTGACTTCTCATGACTTGAGAGTTAAAAGCTGAAACAAACCCTTTCCTCTCCAGGTTGGTTTTGGTCATGGTGTTTTAACTATGACAACTCTATTTTAGTTTGGTCTGGTCTGTTGGTTTTTAGTGTAGGGACTCAGTCCAAAACAGTCCAAAAAAGAGTCATTTTTTGCTTAACAGAACAAAATGCTGTTTTGTAGTTTCTTTTAACTTCTTTTTCCCCCCAGTAGTATTTTAATGTTATTTTCTGAGTTTAGCTAATCTTGCTTTTGTGTTACAGAATGTTAGTTTTTATTCTACTTATCATAAGTGCATCTATCATCCATGGCTGTCTACATTAGAAATTACTATTCCCTTCAGAAAATAAGTTGCTTTGGGGATTATTTCATAGTTCCAATAACTGTGTGGACAGTTTAATTTTGTATTTTCCATTGGTTGAAGCAATACAAAAATGAATTTAAGATCTCTCCCTTGGGCTGGGGATCCCCACCATACACTGTACACATATATAACCGTCCCCCAAAGTTCTCTCTTTTGGGAATAGTTCTCCTTTTCAGTGGGAGCAGTTAATATACTTTCATAATCTTGGTGTCCCAACTGCACCCACACCCAGCAAGTTCTCCCTTTCAGTGGCTTGCTCATTGGGAGGGATGCAGT